CTGCCCCCATTTCCCCAAACCCCCCAGTTGCTCCCAGGCCTATGACTCTGGGCCTTGCCACTGAAGTACATTTCATCTTAGAGCCAGCGTTCTCAACAGCGGGGCAGGGGCAGGTGCCACTGTTTGGCTTATTGTTTGCAGGCCCTGACAGCCCTCATATCTGTTTGCTTGGGGGAGGAGAGAGGTCCACAAGTGACAGTGGTGTCCCAGGATGCTTTCCCACCTTCTATAACCCAGGGACACTTGGCCTCCTCAAGAGAGTAAGTCCTAGAGTGAGAGGTAGAGCACAGAACTGGGTGTGGCAGCTCATACCTCCAATCCCAGCCCTTGGGAGGGTAAAGCTAGAGGATTGCTATTCAGCATGGACTGTATAGTGAGTACCAGACCAGCCTGGGCTGCAGAGAGAGACCCTGTCTTAAAAACAAAGAGCACACCTTTAACTCCAGTACTTGAGAGGCAGAAGCAGGTAAATTTCTGTGAGTTAGAGGTCAGTCTGGTCTACATAGAAAGTTCCAGGCCAGCCAGAGATACATAGTGAGACCCTGTCGTCATAGACAAACAAACAAACCCCCTCCAAAACCCCCAAACAAAAACAAACAACAAGAAGGACAGAGAAAGTCACACAGCCAGAGAGAGAGAGAGAGAGAGAGAGAGAGAGAGAGATTGAGAATGAGAATGAGAGAGACATACAAAGGAAGGGGAAAGAAGAAAGACAGGAGGAGAGGAGCTACAGGAGCAAGCAGAGACAGGGATGGACATACAGCAGAGCAGGGACAGACATACTCACAGGCAGTCAGAAAGAAGCTTCCCAAGAAACACATAGAGATGGGCAGAGAACCTCAGGGCCTCGAGACATTCCTAGGAGACCCTGGAGCTAAGGTATTGAACACCGAGTCCCTGGGGGGTCGAGGGAATCCCAGGAGGTTGGTGCCGCTGCCTCCTGTCCCCAACACTGAGACACTACAAGCTCCTGGCCCCCAGCCACCGTGAAGTAAGCCAGCCGTGGCCGCTGGAGCTGGTGGGTCACCTGAGGTGAATGAAGAGGTACCGGTGAGGGTGGGGAGGCTGTGAGTATGGGAAGAAAAGGGAGCACACACTGCAGGGGGTCCGGGTGGGTGTGCAAGGGTATTCACGTGGGACATGGCGCTCAGGAGCCGTCTGTGAGCCAAGGTAGCATGCTGGGTGACTGTGAGTGCATGCTTGTGTGTGGGTATGTCTACTTCCATCAAAAACCCTGTACCTGCAGGGCATGGTGGCACACACCTTTAGTCCCAGCATTCTAGAGGCAGTGGCAGGTGGATTTTTGTGAGATTGAGGCCAGCCTGGTCTACATAGCGAGTTTTAGGTCAGCCAGGGCTACAGGGAGACCCTGTCTCAATAAAACCAAAACCAAAACCAAACCAAACAAAAACCCTGTAGCACTAATGAGGCCAAAATGGTGGATTGGTCCCCAAACAACCCAGTCAGAATCATGAGTGAGCAGAGTGGGCTGCGAAAGAGGTGGTATGCCTCTCTTCTGAGCAGACGGTATATCCAGGTGCCACAGGGCACTCTACAGCAGCCTAGACCAATATGCCATTTACTTCTGCCAGGGATGACTCCCCACTTCTTGGCCAACTGGCCCCCAAACTCATGGAGAACTCACCCCTTCCCGGTTGTGAGTGCAGCTCTCTGAGAGGGTATGGGGGGCAAGGCAGGCTGGCTATTCAGCCTGGCCTTCCTCTGATCTAACTGCCACCCTTCCTGCTGTTGCCGCCTTTCAGCTTATCTCATCCTTGCTCCTTGGGCACAGCAAGTACCACATCCTTGCCACACTGGGAAGAGAAGCAGGCTCTTCTCCCCATCCCTTCCCACTCAAGCGTCACAGGACATTTTTAAAAACTGTCCCAATTTTGGGATAGAGAACGAGGTCAGGAAGCCCAAAGGGGGACAGCTTGCTGGTGACAACTGACAATCTTCACTTCTCCTTGAAACTCCTTCCTGATCTAGGAGAGTGTGACCCAAGCCCAGTTTTACAGGGCCAGCAATATAGTAGGGGACAGGGAGCCTAGGAAGGCAATTAACCATGTCACACGTGTGGTCACAGGCCTTCTGTCACCTTTGCAGGGTCTAGGGTAGGGTCTAGGGTGGTCCACAGACACTGGTCTAAATATCTTAAAGTTATCACGACATGGGACCTAGGCCTATAATCCCATCTACTTAGAAGGCTAAGGTAGGAGGATTGCTGTGAGTTGGAGGCCAGCCTGAGTATCTTTGCCAGGTCTTGTCCCCACAACAAAACAAAAAAACTGGGGATATGACTTGGTGGTAGAGTACTTGCCTAGCATGACAAAGCCCTGGGTTCCAGCCTCAGGACTGGAAAATAACAGTTATAATAACTACAAGAAATAAATATTAAATAATGTATATTTTAAAGTTATAGATATCACTAATGAAATGTTCAATAATTTGTTTAGAGACAGGGTCTCATGTATCCCAGGCTAGCCTCAACCTTGAACTTCTGATCTTCCTGCTTCCATCTCCCAAGTGCTAGGATTACAGGTGTGCACCACACTTGCATTTATGCAGTGCTGGGTAATGAACCCAGGGTCTTGTGCATGCTAGGCAAGCACGCAAGCACTCTATGAACTGAGCTACATCGCACACCCTATATTAATAAATTATATTCTAACCTCTTATCTTGACAGACACACCTTCATAGCAACCTAGAAGACCAAGTTCAAATTCATATTTTTCTGCCCCCAGGGAGTTACACATCAGAATGACAACAATGTAGAAAGAGATGGCTATATTCTCACCCTGGTTCCAGCCACCCCACCCTGGCTGCCTCTTCACTGCCAGATCCTTTCATATTGTGGGGGGGGGGGGGGCACATACCTGGTTTTAGCCTAGTTCCAGCCTCACCCCCTGCAAATTAGCTTGCTAGGTAAGCACTCTATTAACTCAGCTACATCCCCAGGCCTGGGAGTGTGGTCCCGATGCCCATCCCCTAAGCCATGCTGACTCCTCACTTGACAGGAGGCAGCCAGAGTGGAGCCCTTGAAAGTGCCCGGCTTCAGGCATGAGTACTGCTACCTTTCCCCAGGTTTAAGGGTACCCATGGACCCAGTCTTCTCCTGTGGCCTGCAGAACTAGAGCCAGGGTGTGAAGCTCTTGCTCCACTGAAGGGCAGCTCAGACAATCCCCAGGCAGGATTATTTACCTTCCTGGAAAAATTCAGCCAGGCTTGATCCCAACTTGTGGATTCCTGGGAGTGGGGAGGGCAGGGAGATGGTGCCAACAGGGCATTTTTGTCAAGTTGTGTCTCTAAGCCAGAGTTTGTTCCATCTAGGTACAGCCCCAAGAGGGCCCCTGCCACTCCCTGGGTCCTGCCTCACTCTGCAGATGAAAAGCAACACAAACAAGGTAATGGAGCCAGGAGGAAGTAAGGGGCCCTGGACAGCACAGAGATGGGGCCCAGCCGGGGACCCGTAGAAGCAGGGTGAAGGGCATCTCTCTGGACAAGCTTAAAAAAAAAAAATTCTACCCCCTGCAGATCAGCTTTTCTGTCCTACCCAGAGGGGGACACTTAGACCTGTTGAGCTCTCGCCATGGCCAGGCACTGCGCTAAGCACTCCACAGTTGTATTCTCACTTAGCCCCTGCAGCCACCCTATGAGGTGGGTTCTATCAATCAATATCTCTATCCATCAATATCTTCATTTACAGGTAAGGAAGCAAATTCAGAAGGTAAGGTAGGTGAGGTGATAAGTCTCAAGTCTGACCGGCCCCAGAGCTCCCATTCCTGCCACCATAGTTCTCTGTCTCCCAGAATCAAGAAGCCATCACAGAAGCAGAAAGAAAGAAGCCAGTGAGATGGCTCAGTGGGTAAAGGCATTTGCTGCCAGCCCTGACAACTTGAGTTCAATTCCTGGTACCCACACGATGAAAGGAGAGAACTGACTCCCATAAGTTTTCCTCTGATTTCCATACATTTACACACATGCGCACACACACACACACACACACACACACACACACACACACACACACATGAGAGAGAGAGAGAGAGAGAGAGAGAGAGAGAGAGAGAGAGATTAAGAAATGAGAAAGAAGAACTTCTTAGTCATGAGGATTGATGTGGGAGGAGACCATGGAATGGGAGATCTAGTCAGACAATGAAATTCCTCCCTTCTAATTGTCACCTGAGTCTGTCTGAAGACTTGTGATGCTCTCTGGAGTGTCCCTGGAGTCCTAGCAGGAACAGATGACAGCACCCTGACCTCCCTCTGGTCTGCAATCCAGGACTCTTTACTTCACCCCCCTCATCATAGGCCCAAAGTTGCCCCCTTTTTATGATCCAGCACCACAGGTGAACTCAGACCTCCTCCAGAAAACCTTCCCTGAGGTCCCAGGATCTAGGTCTAAGGAGGCAGGATCCCTTCCTGCTCACATCACACCTGAAGGGGTACACACACCCGGTGGCCACCATCATCGAAACAGCCTAGCTCCTGGACACCACACAGAACAATCCAGCCAAATCCCAGGCTCTGGTCCTTGGGACATCTGCTAGCCCCGTTCCCCTCTTTCCCTACCCCCTCTCATCATTCGGCATCTGTACCCAGAAGCAAGTCATGCAGGTGTCCCCAGGTCACCAGAAAACCTAGAACGCGCTCTAACAGCTCTAACCTCACTTGTCCCCCATCATTCCTGACCGTGGGGAAAGATGCAGCCCTGGGGCCGACTCCGGGTGAAGGAGAACCCCTCTAACCTGCCCTCCTCGGGAACACTGTAATGCCCATTTTTTCCAGCCTTTGGATCCCCACAGCATCACGGAGAGCCAGAGGGACCCTCCAACTTCCTCAGAGTTTAGTCACAGCCGCACACCTAGCCCAGGCAAGGATGTCTTTTGGGGTCCCCTAGGTTTGAGATGAGGACAGGGGACAGGAGGAAGGGGCTGCGTTGTTCTCCCCAGCTGCCCTCGCAGTCCTCAGCTTGGACCAGCCGGCGTCCCTGTCTTACCTGCCCGCACAGATGGAGCCCGCTGTGGCCACCTGCTCTCGCTTGGTTCTCAGCGCCACGGCTCAGAGCTGGCAGAGCAGGGATGGGGCCTGGCGGGGCGGGGCCTGGCTTGGCGGGGGCGGGGCAGAGAGGGGCGGAGGCTCCGGCCCTCCCCAGTCCTGGCCGTGAGGAGTGGGCTGCCCTTTTAGGTGGGGAGTAGGGAGGAGAACCAGATCCCCCACCAATTCCTATTCCTTTTCTTCTCTTTTCTCTTTTCTTCTCCCCCTTCCCTTCTCCTCCCTTTTTCTCTCTCGCTCTTTTATTTTTTGAAACAGGGTCTTATATAGCCCAGGCTGGCTTTGAACTCCTGATCCTCCAGCCTCCACCTCCCAAGTGTTGGGACTGCAGGCATATACCATCATCCATGGCTCTTTTTCCTTCCTTCCTTCCTTCCTTCCTTCCTTCCTTCCTTCCTTCCATGTGTTCTCTATAGTCCTTCCTTCCTTCCTCCCTCTCTTCCTTCCTGCCTTCCTTCCTACCTTCCTTCCTTCCTTCCTTCCTTCATTCCTTCCTTTCCTTCCTTCAACAAAATTGTAGTCTGTAGCCCAGGCCGCCTTGAACTAGCAGCAATTCTTCTGCCTCAGCCCTGGATTACAGGCATAAGCCACCACATTTGACTTTCTGAGGGTTAAAGGGTAGGGACACCTGGGTCCTTATGATCTATGAAACCCCCTATTTCAGGCAGCCTGGTTCAGATGTCCACAACCCTGGCTCCTCACAAGCAGCAAGAACAGACACCTCTCCTTGCCTGCACCCCACCAATCTGAGGCTCTTGGGGGCTCTCACAGGATGGAAGGTTGATGGGGTGCCCCCTCTAAAAGCTCCCAATTCAGGGATCAGTCATGTTGAGACTTGGTCCCTGGAGGGACATTAGGAAGCCAGGTCATCTTTCTCCTCTCTGTGACACAGCCCCAACCCCCACCCCCAAACACCCACGCAAGGTCCCTCAGCTGTCACTGTGTAGCACTGGAATGATGACTCCGTGAGTCCAGCCACATTCAAGGCCATTGAGCTTAGCACTCCTATGCTTCTGCCCCCCTTCCACCAAGTCACTAATTTTATTGACCTGAAAAAGGCACGTTCCTGGCAGGGGATACAATAACTCAGGGTACAGTGGGGAGTGGACAGGCAGAAGGGGCCCATGAGGGATGAGAAGGATGCCTGAAGAGGCCAAGGACACTTGGAGCAGAAGAGGGACACTGAGAAAGGTTTGATTTAGGCCAGGATGGATGTCCAACAAGAGTGGAAGTGAAATTGTAGCCCTCACAGGAGAAGGGAGAGGGAATTCTTTTCCATTCACCCTGAGGTGGGACCAAGAATGAAGCAGGGGGCACCAAGGTTGGAAGGTAGGAAGAACTGTCATCCAGCTGTCACATCTCTGCCCCAGCCTCCTCCTCCTCCCTTGAAGGTGACTCCTGCCTGCTGGGCCTCTTACCACAGAAATAGCCCTTTCCCTGAAGAATCAACCTAGATCTTGCCTCTCTTTTTATTAAAATGAGAACGAAAAAAATGTAGGCCTCTGTAATTTCCCTATTTCATGTCTACCTGATTCTACCCCTCAAAGGCTGGATGTCACTATCTCCACCTCAGGAAGGGGGTAAAAGAGGGTGGAGAGAGGGACACTGGGGTTGGAACCTATCAAGGGACAGAGAGGGCACAACGGCCATACATTCTTGAGGGGCCTTAGGTCTTGGAATGGAACCCAGGGCCTCTTTTCAGGCTCTGCCAGTGAACCCCATCTCCAGCCCTCAAATTTAGCCTGCTGGTGCTCTGAGTGAGGGTTTCATAGCCACTAAAGAGATTTTTCTTTTCTTTTTTTGAGACAAGGTCTCATGTATCTCAAGCTGGCCTCAAACTCACTATGCAGTCAAAGATGACCTTGAACTTAAAAAAAAATTACTTTGGACTGGAGAGATGGCTCAGTGGTTAAGAATACTGGCTGTTCTTGCAGAAGACCTGGGTTCGAATCCAGCACCCACATGGCAGCTAATTACTGTCCATAATTCCAGTTCCAGGGGATCTGACAGTCTCTTCTGTCCTCCGCAAGGATTGCACGACACAGGTGCACTTACCTACATGCAGGCAATACACATAAAAAAATAATAAAAAAATTTAAAAATTACATTTATTATTCATTTTGTGCATGTGTACATGTGCAACACAGTGGATGTAGAGGGCACAAAACAACTTGCAGGAGTCAGTTCTCTCCTTCCATCATGTGGGTCCTGGGAACTGAATTCAGGTTATCAGTCTTGGAAGCAAGCACCTTTAATCCACTGAGCCATCTCACTGACCCAACCTTGAACATCTGTTCTCTCTCTCTCTCTCTCTCTCTCTCTCTCTCTCTCTCTCTCT